TTTGATATCAATATGTGCAAATATTGATAATACTAATTGAATATATTATTATTATTTAGGCCTCGATTTATATAATACATTTATACTTATCAAAATTTTTTTAATAGCTATTTGTAACAGATTTAGAATTAAGCATGGTATAGAATAATGATTGTTCAATAATTAGATTTAAGGTTGGTTATTAATTCTTTATTGGTGATATTTTTGTTAAAACAATATAAATAATTTATTTTATTATATTAATTTAGACTAAAGATATATATATAACGGGATCAAAATTTAAGGATAGCAAGAGAAATGAGGATATTGATAATTTTATGAAAAAATTTTGACTAAAAGCTACTAAATTTTGCTACATAATGAAGGTTTATATTCTTTAGCAGTCCCGTTATATACAGTAGGTATATTAAAAGTTCTTACTACAACTTGTTTATTGTAGCCAAAAAGCTAATTTTCCATTCCTTCGTGATTTCCAGGTTTTTTGCTGTTTTTTTGAATTAAGCACTTCATTGCATGTATTGGTCTCACCAACAAGAGGCTGTTTAAGGGTCTTGTATGCTTCGTAAAGCTTGTCATTTTCAATATTATCATTAATAATTTTTATTAATATTTCAAATATTTTTGAATCTGAGGCTAATTCAGCTTTTCTACTCTCAATAACTGCATGGCGTTCAGCGATTGCACTATGACTACTTGATGCTCCTGGTTTAATGCTGGATTCTAAAACATTGTCCTGTGAAATATTGTCCTGTGAAATATTATCTTGTGAAATGTTATTCTGTAAAGCATTATTCCATGGGTTATTATTTAAATTAATTCTTGGGATATTTACTTTTTCAAAGACAATAAATGGGTAATCGTGGTGACGCATTGTAAAACGAAACTTTGGAAAAAAGGCTGAGTTTTCTATGGAATATTTTTGCACCAAATGTTTGCACATATGGTAGGTATTGAAGAGAAAGGCAGGGCAAGAGCAAGTCCAATTATCTATATCAGTATGATAATTATCAGTTGTACTTATGTTTTTTTCCATATTAGATTATCACTCATTCTTAAATGCATCCCACCATGACGGGAAGTCTCGATTATAACGAAATCTTCACCAAGTATTTTCCATATCTGGAACTAGTTCCTTAGTAAGTATTTGTGTAAGACGATCTAGATGTGGCCGATTACAATTATATTTATAGTTATATTTAAGGACACGCCAATGCGATTCTGTAATTATAGTTGTTTTAGCAATTGGTATTGCTTTTGGATAAGCTGCCCGTGCAAATAGATTCCAATCCTTTAAGTTATACCAATTTACCCACAAATATCCTCATAAGTTATGAAGATTTCTTTGAAAACAGAATCGATAAATTTCAGAGACACATTGAGATCTAATTTTTTTCTTGGTAAGAAAAAGATTTTGTTCTATTGAAATAAGTGGGTGCATTAATGCATGTTTTTTAACTATTCCTAATAATT